CTCCTCATCTGGACAGAAAGTTCACCTCACCTGAACAGGAAGTTCACCTCACCTGAACAGGAAGTTCACCTCACCTGAACAGGAAGTTCACCTCACCTGAACAGGAAGTCCGCCTCATCTAAACAGTAAGTTCACCTCACCTGAACAGGAAGTTTACCTCATCTAAACAGGAAGTGCACCTCACCTGAAGTCTACCTAAGCTCACAGAAACCAGGTGGTTTTTATAAATACTGCCCCTGACCAGGATCAGTTCTGGTCTCTGCAGAAAAACAGAACCTGTCTCAGGTATGGGAGGCTTTGCTGCCACCTGGTGGTCATCTGGAGGAACCAGGACTACACTGAGCTGAAGATCAGTTCTGTTCTTCTGTTCTGCAGAAACGTTTATCTTTATWTATATAAAAATATTCAACACAAAATAACTTTATTAATATTTTAAATCTTAAGCTCCACCCACTTGTCCTAACGCTCTTCTGGATTGGATGACTCCTGACCACGGGCCCGCCTCTGGCTCCGCCCCCACTGACAGTCGTCACAGTGAAGTTGTACTTCCTGCCGGGGAACATCCCGCCCACCAGGCGTGTGGTCAGGTGAGTCTGCGTGACGGACAGCTGGTCCTCCGGCGTCCACTGCAGGCTGAAGTTATCGTACTCTCCGGAGGCGGGGCCTGACCACAACAGCTCTACCAYGTCATTGGTCAGACCTTGTTTGACTGACAGGTGAGTGGGCGGTTCTGGAGCTGAGAGAAATTTATTTTTTATTATTGAAGCAAAACAAAAAAAATATGAAGAAGTTCTAAAGATTTATTTGACTCACAGGTGCGACCGAAAGCTGCAACGCTATTGGTCAGCTCTCCACTGTGAGTGATGACCTCAGAGCGGTACCGCCTACCAGGGGTCAGACCAGAGAAGGTGTGGCTTAGGTGCTCCGTGCCGAGGGTTTGATCCCCCAGCCTGGCTCCAGACACGTCCAACAAGACCACCTTAAACAAAACAAAGCAAAACAAAACAAAATAAACAACAAAACAAAAATAAACAAAACAAAACAAAAAAAAAACTAAGTTTAATTTCTAAATAAAACACTTTTTATTCAGGAAGTGACATAATAAAGACGTAAATAAAATATGTCCTGACCTGGTAGTTGCTGCAGCGTCCCTGTCCTCGCTNAAGATTTATTCCAGCAGAACTTTGTTTTCTTGGTTTTAGACAGAAAATTCTTCTCAGTGACCCAAATCTGTCCTGGAAGTCCTGAACCAGGACCAGAGAGAAGCATGGAGTCTGAAGCAGAACTGATCCTGATTTCACAGGAGGCTCTGGACTTTAATTAATCTGTTTTCTTTAGTTAAACACTTCTTTGTTTCTGGAGCGGTTCTGATGAGGCCCGCTTTCTGTTAATTAAACCAGAACCTGGTTCTGTTGCTGAGGAACCACTCCCAGGTGGGTCGACCCACTTCCACACAGCTTTCATACAGCCTGATGGGCATCCTGGGACTCTCAGACTCTGGTTCAGGACTCTGGATCAGACCCTGGATCAGACTCTGGGTCAGGACTCTGGATCAGGACTCTGGTTCAGGACCCTGTGGGATCATGTAGGAGAGTTTTAGTTGGACTCACGGTCGATCAGGGTGACGGCGCTCTGACTGGTCGGGGGACTCCTCAGTCCATCTGAGGACACCCTGACCGTCACGGAGTAGTTCCTGAAGGCCTCCAGGTGGACCAGTGTTACCGCGGTGACGCCTCCCGCCAGCCTGAGCGCCGATGTCAGCTCCCCATCATCACCACGACGACACTCCACCTCGTAGGAGTCGAAGTCAGCGAGCGGGGGGGTCCAGGAGCAGGAGAGGGATGAGGAGGACTGAGGGAAGCAGTGGACCCACCTGAGAGGAGCCGGACCTGCAGGAGGAACAGTCAGGTGAGTACTGATCTACAGGAAGTTCTCCTCATCTAAACAGGAAGTGCACCTCACATAAACAGGAAGTTCTCCTCATCTAAACAGGAAGTGCACCTCACATAAACAGGAAGTGCACCTCATCTAAACAGGAAGTGCACCTCATCTAAACAGGAAGTGCACCTCACCTAAACAGGAAGTTCTCCTCATCTGGACAGAAAGTTCACCTCACCTGAACAGGAAGTTCACCTCACCTGAACAGGAAGTTCACCTCACCTGAACAGGAAGT